TCCAAGGAGGTGATACTTCCCCTCTATCGGGCGCTGGTCAGACCGCAGTTGGAGTACTGCGTGCAATTCTGGGAACCGCACTTCAAGAAGGATGTGGATAACCTGGAGAGGGTCCAGAGAAGGGCCACTCGTATGGTTAAGGGCTTGCAGACGAAGCCCTATGAGGAGAGACTGGGGCACCTGGACCTCTTCAGCCTCCGCAAGAGAAGGTTGAGAGGCGACCTTGTCGCTACCTACAAGTTCATCACGAGGGCACAGAAGGGAATTGGTGAGGTATTATTCACCAAGGCGCTCGCGGGGGTCACAAGAAATAATGGCCACAAGCTAGCAGAGAGCAGATTTAGACTGGACATTAGGAAGAACTTCTTCACAGTTCGAGTGGCCAAGGTCTGGAACGGGCTCCCAAGGGAGGTGGTGCTCTCCCCTACCCTGGGGGTCTTCAAGAGGAGGTTGGATAAGCATCTAGCTGGGGTCATCTGAACCCAGCACTCTATCCTGCCTATGCAGGGGGTCGGACTCGATGATCTATTGAGGTCCCTTCCCAGGCCCTCTAGGCGAGCCCCCCTGGCTCTGTCTTGTTCGCAGCACAGAGTCCCATTCACTGCCCTGGCTGGGCAGCATCTGCCCCCCCATACCCCTTCACCTAAAGACTTACCAGCAGGACATGGCTCTCCAAGATGCCCGCCTGCATTCCTGTAAATTGGCTATTGGATTGATATCCACTGGTTAATAATTGGCTATCGGTATCAGCCAAGAAAATCGTTATCAGTGTGCCCCTAATTATAATGAATGATTATTTCAAGACCGTTCACCATTTCCTCTCCATAACTGAAACCACAAACAATGCCGGCCCCCAGCAGCTGGGGGTGTGCAGTGGCGGGAGCACAGCAGTGGTAAGTGGGAGCTTCCGCAGACACTGCTGGCGCTGTAAGGGCATGGCAAGTGCCCACCAGGGGTTGGCGACCACCCGCAGATGCCTCCGGCAGTGGCAGCCAGCAAGGATCGCTGACTGGTCACAGATGCTACTGGCAGTGTTGGAGGTGAGGGGTGGTAAGTGGTGACAGCTCGCAGGCACTGCTGACCATGTCAGCAGCACCTTTTTGTAGAGGGTGCACCGCCATGCTCAGGGGGTGCATGTGTACCCGCATGCACCCCCTACCCATTGCCCCTGACTGAAACCAATGTTCTCTGTCTTTATCCTCAGCCTAAGCATTCTCCTCAGCTGGAGTTCTTTGAGCCCTAAAGAGTTCCATTGATGGATCAAAAGGCTGCAGCTGTAGTAGATCTATTTTAATTTCTTTTGGTGATTTAAAAACGGCATTTTGAATCCACCCTGGCAAGCTGGCTTTGATTTGCCAACGGATTGATTTGGTTTGCAAAGGACTCACTTGGCTAGAATGACTTCCTTATCTTGTGTAGAAAGGAAAG